AATAAGTGGGTATATTGAATCAAGACCGAAGATAATAGCTCAAAGCCTCGCTACAAAGCTCGGTTAGTTGTCAAAGGATTCGGTCAAGAAAAAGGCATCGACTTTGAGGGAATATTCTCTCCTGTGGTAAAGATGTCATCCATCCGAGTTGTCCTTGGCCTAGCAGCAGTGCAAGATTTGGAGATTGAACAACTCGATGTCAAGACGGCATTCCTTCATGGGGACCTAAAGGAATAGATCTACATGGAGCAACCCGAGGGGTTCAAAGTTCCGGGCAAAGAAAACCTGGTATGTCGCCTCATGAAGAGTTTATATGGCCTCAAGCAAGCACCGGGGCAATGGTACAAGAAGTTTGAATCCTTCATGGCAGAGCATGACTTCAAAAAGACGAAAAGCGATCATTGTGTATTCATAAAGAGGTATGAACGTGGTGACTTTCTCATACTTCTACTCTATGTTGATGATATGTTGATCGTTGGACAAGATTATGTAAAGATAGATGCCTTGAAGAAAGATCTAAACAAGAGTTTCGCCATGAAAGATTTGGGACCAGCTAAACAAATCCTTGGGATGAGAATAACTCGTGATAGATAGAAGAGACTGTTATGGCTATCCCAAGAGAGGTACATAGAGAAAGTGTTGGAACGGTTCAACATGGATAAATCAAAGCCGGTTAGCACACTACTTGTTGGACACTTCAGGTTGAGTTCGAAGCAAAGCCCTGTAGGTGAGAAAGAAATGGAGGAAATGAAGAAGATTCCATACTCATCGGTAGTAGGCAGTCTCATGTATGCAATGATATGCACAAGACCAAATATCACCTATGTAGTTGGAGTCGTCAGTCGCTTCTTGGCCAACCCTGGGAATGAACATTGCGTAACGGTCAAATGGATCCTCTGGTATTTACGAGGAACTTCCAAAAGATGCTTATGCTTTGGAAAAGGAAAACCTGTTTTAGAAGGATACACAGATGCAGACTTGGCCGGTGATATTGATTCAAGGAAATCAGCATCAGGATACCTAACTACTTTTGCAGGGGGAACGGTTTCCTGGCAATCAAAGCTGCAAAAGTGTGTAGCATTATCCACCACAGAGGCGGAGTACATCACAGCTACAGAAGCTTGCAAAGAGATGCTGTGGATGAAGAACATGTTGCTCGAGCTGGGAATAGATCAAGAAAGGTACGTGTTGAAGTGCGACAATCAAAGTGCAGTTTACTTGGCAAAGAACTCAGCATTTCATTCCCGCACGAAGCACATAGATACCAGGTATCATTGGATCCGAGAAGTTCTCGAGGAAAAGAAATTGCATCTTGACAAGGTTCACACATACGAGAACTGGTCAGACATGATGACCAAGGTAATACCGACAAAGAAGTTCGAAGATTGCTGTCAAGGTGCAGGTTTGCTACTACCCTCCAATTAAGTCGGGAGGGGGAGATTTGTTGGGATCCCTCCTTAATTGGAGAGGTTCTAGAAAATTCTAGAGCTTTCTGGAGAAGTATAGAATTTTCTAGAACGTTCCGGAGAATCCTAGAGAAGTCTAGAACTCTCTAGAAGTATGTGAAATAGTGTTGAATCCTCTAGAATATTCTAGAGATGTGTGGAACCTTTCGGAAGCTTATGAAAGAGTATGGAAGGATATGGAAGAGAGTGGAAGAGTATAGAGCCTCCTAGAGTGTGTGGAGCATTCTAGAGAATCAATCTCCACCCTTGGATAGAAATCATCCCCACCATTCATTGTGAAGGTGGAGTAGTATAAATAGGAGTAGAGGTATCCATTCCTAACCATCCTAGCAAGAGAGAAGCCACTTCCTAGAGTGAGAAAGCTAGAGAGTTAGAGAGCCTCTTTGAGAGAGAAGAGAGTTAACTTGGGAAGTTCTTATCCTCAAGCTTGAGTGAGCCACCATTGAGTGAGACAATTTTGTAACATCCTTGTAAATCCTACTATTCTTTTGTATAGTGGAAGAATCTCCATATTGGAGAATTTAAATCGTGAGCTCCCATTGCTACCTAATTTACTAAGTGCCTATCTTAACTTCACGAAGCGGGAAAGTCCGGAGTTTTTCCCAACATAAATAATGCGCATTGGATCAATATACATAAGCATTGCTTTTGGAAGATTGCTACTGGAGCCTTCATTAACAAGAGCTTTTGAACACCCAATGGAAATGTAAAACAAAGTGCCAATGAGCCAGAGAGGTAAAGAAAACTCTCACAATGCTATCTCTGTGTTTGGAGTACAAATATCGTCCTTTTCTGAGATACTTTCACTTATTTCAAGTGTGATGGGCCTTTTGGATCCTCCTCTAAAAACAATCCTAATAAAGTAGTGAAAAAAGTCATATCCTTTAAAAAGCTCCTCCAAATTTGTGAAATTATTTCTTATTGTTAAGGCATAAAGGGACTAGAACAACATTTCACGCCCAATGTACTCTTATAATGGATTGATGGTGGACAATTTGATAGTAATGCAGTAGATAGTTGAAGTTCAGTACTAGACTAAATTAGATCTAAAAAAAAGTTATAAAAAAAAAGCTGCATATTGGCCAGATGGAATATGAGCAAACATTAAATTTAAATTTTTCTCATTACTAGAACAAATACTAAACAATAGTGTTATTAGTATTATTATTTAAAATATGAGTAATTAATATCAGTACTTTCACGGTTTCACCAATGCAAATATGCAACTATAATTGTATAAAGTTGATTGATAATGTTGATAAGTTTGAAATAGGGATCACTAAATGGACCCTTTGGTTGATCCAACATCATATAGTTAGTGTTGGACCCGGTTCGGGCCACCTGGTCCGAGACCAGCCCGGCCCTTTATTGTGCGGGCCCGGCCCGATGTACCGGTTTTGAATCTGGGCCTAGACCCGGTCCCGGGGGTTAGGGTGGGGCGGTCCCGGTTCACCCCCTTCTTTGGAACCGGCCCGGGCGGTCCCGGGCCCGGTTCGGGCCTTATTTTTTTTTGTTTTTTCATTGTTTTGGGCTTTTTCCTAAGTTGGGCGGGGTGTTTTGGAAAGGGGGTGGGGGGTGGGGGTGGGGGGGGTCGGGGGGTTAATAAGAGAAGCAAAAAAAAAACATGGACCCGGTCCGAACCGGTCCCGGGCCTTCTACCTAAAATTAAAAGCCCAGCCGGGCCTAGGCTTGATCTTGGCCAGACCCGGCCCGAGTCCATGATTGCATATAGTTCGTTCATCTCATCATGTGTACTCTTGTAGTTCTTCAATCTAAAATGTTCAAATGTGTTATTATATAGTTTAATTATTTGTGATTTTGACATCATCAATATTACTAAAAGAAAAGTTTTGAACAAAAGACTAATAGAGTTTTCCAAAAAGTGACTTTCACGACTTTTATGCCCCTCACCTGAGGCAGTGACTTTCACGACCAGTTCCAATTACAACCACACCCCAGTGACCACCGCCCACTCTTTCAACGGCCTCTGCAGCTGTCCCTTTCGATGATCACAACCCTTGCCCCTACCCAACTACCCATCCATTGATCCACCTCTCGAGGCCCCCTATCACCCGCCACCTACCCAAGAATCTACCCCGCACAACCAAGTCGTAGTCAAGCCCGTGTTCAAGGAGGTCGTGGGTCCTAGTTGAACCATCATCAATGACCTCACCAAACGAAACACTAACACTACAAATCTGGCTCTCATGGCAGAAGTTCTACAAAGCGGCGAAGATGCACTCAAAACCCTAACGGCCTGTTTGGATTGAGGGTTGGGGAGTGTTAGTAATGGAAGTGTTAGTAAGTGTTGATACTAACACTTGTTTGGGAGAAAAATTAAGAGTTGTTAAGAAGTGTTAGTAACGGTTAGGAAGTGTTAATAATAACCTTCCCAACACCTCAATTGTCCACTTTTTTAACACCCCGATTTGGAGTGTTTTGAGGTGTTGGACAATTATTACCTTCTCATTTACCCTAAAAATATATAATGCTTTGACATCTCACTTCGAATATCTTTGCCGAGGGTCTGATGGTCTTCCCTTTTCGTCTCTTCTTTGTTCTGCTACAAGGCAAAATTATTAACACTTCCATTACTAACACTTCATTCATTTGACTCTCCCAAACAAGGTAAAATTATGTCTAACACTTACACTTCTCTTCCCTTCCGGACCCTTACCAACACTTACTAACACTTCCATTACTAACACTTCCAAACACTCCATCCAAACAGGCCCTAAGATCCAACACCACTAATTCAGATCTCCATGTACCTGAGTGGTGACAATCAATATTACAAAGATGAGGGGCATTGATTGGGGAGAAGAAAGGAGGAAGGAGCAAAATGTACTAGCGTTGGTGCTTATCGGTCTCAATCGGAGAAGAAGGAAACTAACTGAATGACATGGAGGTCTAGTACCAGCCCGGCTATGTTCCGGGACCGAGTCGAGTAATGTTTTTTTCGGGTTTTTCTTATTTATTCTTATCCCCCCTCCCAAACACCCCCAAACCACCAAGCCCACCCCCCTCTTACCCAAACCATTCGGAAAAAACAAACAAATAAATAAATAGGTCCTCGACCAGCCGGTTCCAAATGGGCTACAGCCCGAGCCCCCCCTCCAACCCCCCCCCCCCCCAGTCCGGGTCAAAGGCCCGGTCCCGATCAACCGGACCAGGCCGGTACCGCACGCTGGTCCGGGTACCGAGACGGTCAGACCGGTCCCGGGCCACCCCTAAGCTATTTGAGACATTTAATCTTATTTGTCATTTTTTATCCGAAATAGAAATCAGTCCTCTTTTTGTCCCATCAAACGATTTAAGTCTTATTTTTTTCTAATGATTATCCAATAATAACTATGAAAAACATGGAGTACTCATAGTTAATAGAATACGACAAAAAATGTTTTCTTTACATTAATTTTTTATAGGATTATTATTTTTAAATACTTTTAGTTTTTGTTATCATTCTAAAATAAAAAACATTGCTTAAAAGAAGAATGTATAATTTTTTTAGAAATATAATATGAATAGCAGAATAGGCATATTGCACTAATACTAATGTATATATCTATAAGAACAAAATTCCAAACCATACTACAGTAAACTTGTAAAAAATATTAAACCAGAAAATCCTACAAAGAACAGTAGCTAGCAGTCTGTCAGGAAAATGCAAAACCATGATGCCTGAGTCCTGACCGTGAAATGTTAGGAACAAATTGGCTCAGGAGTCAGGACCTTTCACGGGAACAGATTAATTTTGAAAAGGCAAAAATAATGACAAAAATGTCTTTCTATTTTCTATAGCCAATATTGATTGTCATGTAAACTAACAAGGGAATAAGCAGTAATAACAATACTTGTGTCAAAGATGGCAAACTCCGTCATCCGAAGCATATTTTCTTGCGTCAAAGATGATCTTTGTAAGAGAGTTGGTTGTACTGTAAGTTATCCACAGACCACAGGTCTTGCTTCCGTCTCATCATTATAGTCAAATATGGGAATGACTCCTGTTTCTTTATAAGAAGCAGAATGAGAATTAGAATTAGTTATCCAAAAAAGATGAAACAATCGAAGGCATTTAAGGAGTGAAAAGTTCAGAATCAAAATCATTTCCCCAAGAGCTAGTACAATCGAAGGCATTTAAGGAGTAAGTACCTCTAGCTTCCCCAAAATTGATTTTTTAACCTTCAATAATGGTTCATAAGTTTATATTCAGACACCCATCAAAATCATTCTACTTCTAACTTGAGAGAGCATAATCAGTTTTAAGAATTGTTTCCAAACATTAGGCAAGATAGAAGCGCATAATTGAAACTACATGCAGCAGAAGAACATTCTACATACAAAAAAGGCAGCATAAAGAACATCAACATTAAGAAAAATAACCTGAGAAGGGTAAAACCTACTAATTACTAGCACAAAAAGTGAAAAAGACAGTTTGGAGCATTTTGTGCAAGTGTGGGAAATTTATGTAAAGATATACGAGGCAAGTTCAACTTTACCTACACTGCTACTATATCATTTTGAAAAGATAACTCTGGCTTATGACCTCTAAGTTTCATCAGCAGCAGCTTTCATGGTGGCCTTCTTTTTACGTCTGTGCTTAGGCTTTATAGCATCCTTTAATGATTTCACCGTGTGAGTCGACATTTGATCTCCAGATCTCAAGTTTATTGAAGGTGCAGCAGCGTTAAAATCTCCTTGACATTGTCCAGAATCTGCTACAGCAGGCTTTTCATGCACTGTTTCATCATTTCCATAAGCCTTATTCTTCTCAAGGACAGCTGATAAGCCTCCTGCACATAATAAATCCGATTTAACCAGCCACTTTCTCTTTGCTTCTCAAACTGACATGTACTACGTATGAGTTGTAGAGGGAGCGTCTAAAGCCTCTAAACACAACTTCATTACCCACTTACCACTAAGGGGCACAATTAGAACATCTTACAGATAAGATTCTTAAAGTTGACCAAGCCAAGAAAACTAGTGTTGACATGGTAAAGGACAATCTATTGGCTCTCAGAACTCTTTTGGTTTTTACACCCAAAAAAAGAGAATTTCTGGAATATCGTCAGTTGCCTGATCTTATAAACAGTGAAAAACACATCATTATGAACCAATTCTAGAGAAGATAATAAAACTCACCATGTGAACCAAGAGTAGATTTCAATTCTTCTATGTTGACAACCGTTGAATATGGATCCCTTGCATGCGGCAATGCAAAAACGTAAGAATTGACAAAAGAGATATTCAAAGCAGTAATTCATATACATGTATATCCATCATTTGCAATGGAGCCAAAGACTCACTATTTTTTGGCTTGGGAATATGATGGAATAAAGCAACATGGCTCACTAAACTATCTACACTTCTTTGTTATGAAGCAACGGTCAATCCATCCAATTTTCAACGCGATTTTCATCATGGGTCATCTGGATACATTCTCTTTGTGCTTTAGTACAAGAAAGGTTGCGTACATCCGCCCCCCTTTATCCCACCCTCCTTTGGGTGGGAGCCTTTGCGGCACTAGGGTAATGTTTTTGTCGTTGTGATTAATAAACCTTTACTGTTTTATTATTTGGCAAAGGCAATCATAAGCACTTCGCAAAAGGAGAGCATTTTTTCACAGCACAAAGAAAAATAAAAGAAGGGAAAGGGGTCAAAGTACATCCTTCAACTATTTTCGATCCATCACTTAAGCCCATAAACTAAAAAAAGTACCATATACGTCTGCTTACTTTAAAGAGTTGATCAATCTAGCCTTTTAAGTTTTAACCACTTACGTTTTATATTAATTTTTTAAAAGAATTAGTTAAAATTAAAAAAAAAACGTGAACAATTTAAAAATGTCAAATTCAATATTTCTGTATTTTTGGAATTATTTGTATATTCTACATTTTTTTAAAAGTTATCCCATTTAGAATTTATACTTTTACACTTTCATTTTATTTTTTTCATTTTTTGATTTTTTTAGTTTTTCATTTTAACGTTTTAAAATTGTTTATCTCTTTCTGAATTTATACTATTTTTCAAACTTATACTACGTATGAATTTTTAAAAAATTTACTATTGTTTTAAGTCTTTAACTGATTTTTTAAAATACCTATTAGAGTAGGTTAAAAACAAGACCCACATTTTATTTTCATATTTTGAGGTGTCAGGTGTGGCAATTAAAGTGTATCCGCAATTACGCATGCGCTCTTAGAATGGCTCCACTACAAACTTTGTTTCAGAGTGCATTGTTAGATTAATCAAATATCTTCTTTGACCCATTCATAGCCCTTTTCTGACTATTCTTCCCCTTCTTCCATAAACACAAAAAATCCAACCCACACTTCGAATATGTTGAACTTGGAAATGTTCTGTTTGTTCAATGCAGATAAATAGGGTTTTAGCCGGAAAGAAGCTGTAGACTGGTTTCCAAGCCACCATTAACAACAATGACCGAGTCCCTACCAGCAAGGCTATGAGTCCATATCTGCCTGAACGAGGAGGAAGGCAAAAGAGATGACACAAAAACACAATTTTTGTTCACATTTTTTACCTTCCATAGTATTTCCCGGTTTTCAAACACAGTGTAAGTTTTTTTTCCAAAGTCACGAGTTCATATTACTATCCTCCTATAAGAGTTTAACTAATGCATGACATGCAACCTTTTTTCTCCTAAAAATAAAAGGGAATATAACCTTAGACTGACATAGTGACAAAACACCTACGCAGCTCAAAGCACATGCATATAATTATTTACTCAAAAAGCATAATAATTATATTAAAAAAAACACCTACCAACTTGAGGGCCTGCCGGAAAAATTCGGAAATTTGTTAACTTCCCCTTCATTTCTATTTGGCTTAGAAATTTGTGTTTCAACATCCATGTCATCACTACGACTGACACAGAGATCCTCTAATTTGACTCTCTGTATATCCATATTCTGCATTGACAGATCACTGACTTCCCCATTACCTGAGTCAGGAATGTCAATTGCTGTAGTAGCATGTGTGTGTCTTTTGATCTTCCTAAGACCTCTTTCTGTGCAGTACAATTCAACCTGCATATTAAGAGCTTTAGTCCTTCATACCAAGAAGGGGAAATCACTCGCAGTTTCATAGCAATGAATGAAATGTGAAGTGTTAATTCCCAAACAACCCTTCAAAGATCAGGTATAAAGCTCTAAGGACCATCCATATCAACTAAACAAATCATGATAAGCAGATAAAGTACATCTATATTACTCCTTCCGCCTCAAAAAGTCATGTTTCAAGATTTCCTTTTGTCCCAAAAGAATAGTTTGGTCTTAGAAATCATACTTCTATGTTAAAATAGAGTTCATACAAAGCCAGGTGTGCAAGTGGTTTTAGTCAAATACTCTTAACAGTATTGATTAAGTTTTAGGAGTATAAGAGATGGTTCATAATTTATAAAAGCTTATACCTTGATTAAGTTGACCAAAAAAATCGTACCAAGCCCAAACATGATTCTCATTTTGGGAGGAATGGGATATAAGTTTTCCTTGATGCTTAAAAGTCTATTAGAACAACTCTCCAGTAATCAAGCACTAAATAGTAACATAATGGAAGCAAAACATATAATGTCACAATTAGCAGTTTAGCACTCACAGAATTCTTTATCTTGCTTGTTATATCACCAGCCTTCACTGAAGCAATGCGAAGACACTGCATTATAACACTCTGCATGACACCATCTCCTCCCGCCTTCTGAATGGCACAGACATCACCATTTGCATTAACAGTTGCTGTCATTCTTCCTCCCATTACAGCCTCTTCAAAGTGAGTTGGATCTACAACCTAAGCATGAAAAACATACAATTGTAAGTATAAAGAGATTGGGTCAATATGTCTCTGTAAAAGGCACTCCATTATGCAAATATGTGAAGGCCTTTATACTTTGCTTACCACTATGTTCTCGTTTCCAATAAATCCAAAGGTCACTGCTATAGGCATATGATGAATGATCAGTGGAAGTGGTTCCCTGACCTGTCAAAATGCAACACACTTAATTCAAGAGTTAAGACCCACAACATATTTCCTTGATTCATCTTATATCACTTCTCCCTCTTTCTGTATCTAATGTTTTTAACATCGATATCACATGTTGATTCATGTTAGATGACCCCAGACTCTTTTGGTAATAAAACTTGGAAGTTGTTGTTATGGTTGTGACTAGAAACACATTTACTTGAATTTATTATTTTAAAGAACGTGTTTCTAATGCTGACAGCCTGGCACGGTTTATAAATATTTAAAACTTCCATAAAATCATAAACTAATTGTATAAATTATTAAACATCTAAACCAGAACTACCAGACATGTTTTATGCTTCATACTTTGGAAAGAAAGCTGAACGGGACAAAAAGCATTACAAAATAAGTTGTACATATCTTTTACTTTGAACTGTGATTAAATTGAAGTCACAACTTCAGCCAAAATAAATATCAAAACAATTTGCTTAAGAGATTCAAGATGCATAGCAAGCCAGCAGACCTCAGGTGGGTGCAAAGTAATTTCCTGCCCATCTTCTCCTTCAACGGTGCAATCAGGCCTCCGGAATGTTGAGAGGGAAGCTAAGGCTGCGATGTTGGCAGCATCAATAAGGTTCCTAGTCTCACGGAGACGGAAAAATAATGGTCAGTTCCCAAGATGTTAAGTCAGAGCATCATATTTCTTATTGCTAATGACTTGTAAGGCGATATATGATGTATACATAATAACTCACCCTCCATTGTCTAAAATTTGGAGATCAATACGGATAGACCACACCCACTTCCCTGCTACAACACAGAGAGATTCAGTGTCCACAGCTCTACTTTCCCTACAATTACAGTTTTCCACAGTATGCTTCACCTTGTCAATTCTTAACAAATATGAATTCCTCTTTAAGTTTAAATTTTTGAAAACCCTAAAGTTCTCGGTTAATACTCAAACAACAAGAAATATGTTCAACAGTTTATTGTACCCGATTTTGAGTAAAAAAAAGGCTTAAATATGTTTTTTCCCTACAAAATATAGTGTTTTTATTTTAGGCACCTGTCAAATTCTTTTTTCATCAATGAAATTTAGGATTTTATTCTTTTCAGTCCCTCTCACTATCCACCAACCTTCATTAGGAATAATCAGTAATATATAGTCAGATAGTCATTTGTAGTTCTCCCATAAAAACTGACTCAATGGGAGGCTGAACAAACAATTAATAGCCTGGATAAAAAATATATATACTTCCTCCGTTCTATTTTAGTCGCAGCACTTTTACTTTCACGCTTGCCAAGACACGAATTTGACTATAAATATATTTAAATGGATTTTAATAAAGATTATAAAAAAGAATGTATTTAAAAGTTTACAATGTGACAATTTATTTATTTTTTAATTATGTTAGCACATTAACCAATAAAATATAGTCAAAGTAGAGTTTGTGAGTAGTGCAAAATTCAACATGTTGCAATTAATAATGGAGGTGGACAGGTAGTACATAAGAACCTAAAGGGGCAGCCGGGTGCACATTTGCGTTCCCGCAAGGTGAGGGTCCAGGGAAGGGGCCCACCACAAGGGTGTACAACGGAAAACCTTCCCTTGTCATTTTGACAAGAGGCCGCTTTGATGACTTGAACTTGTGACCTCTCGGTCACACAACAACACTATAACTGGTGCGCCAAGGGCCAAGGCTCCCCTTCTAGTATATAAAAAACCTAAAAACATAAACCATATCTGCTCGGACGAAAAAAATATTTAAGCCTACAAAAATATTGGGAAAATGACATTTTTAGTACTGTAAATCTCCAATTCTGGGGAATTAACCTGTGAGACACCTCAATTATGTGGGTCACCATATCTGGTGCCCAGACTATTAGCTCTGTGGCAAAATTAGTATCCAAAGTGACATAAATGTCAATTTGACTGTTAAATGGTAAACCCTATCTAGTTAATTTTCTAACATATTTATAATTCAGATTCCGAATTCTTAAACCAAAATGAAAATTACAGTCTAGGACAAGAAACTTACAAAAGTAATGCTCGAGAATTGGGATTATAAATATTTTGTCCTCAAAGATTTGACTGTCTTGTCAGTTCTATTTTTGTTTAACATTCATTCTTTTTCAAAACTTTCATGAAGTTGCAAGTTTTATTAGTTATTAAAATCTTCCAAAACTCCTGTTTTTTCCTTAACCAAGGGTCTTCACAGGTCTTCGCAGAAACAGCCATTCTGCTCCTGAAGGTAGACTTAATGTTTGCATGTATCTCAACCTCCATACGTTACGTCTGGACTTACTGGGTTGTGTAGTTTGTTTTCTTTTTCACAATAAAGATTCATCACTGTCGAACAAGAATGAAAACCTGATGAATGTAAAGTTCCAAGAAAGCTAGAAAATTAGAATTATAACCCCATAACCGTTGAAATAAACCCTGCCGGCTTCTTCCACTACTAGAGACAAGAACCGCATTTGGTGACACATATGACTGATGAGTTAAATAAGCTATTTCACCATAACGTTAGGCATATAAAAGACCTCCAAACCTTGTTCTCTCACAAACCTTCATCCTGCTATAATTCAGTCTCATAATTCTAAAAATATGTAATCATAGAACTGCTTTAAAATATGGTCCAAAGATTGCTTGAGGTATAATGCTAAGATCTCACTTCTGAGAAACAAAATTTGAAAGAAGACCTTAGACCACGATCAATTATTCGTCCCAACTCAACAGCAGACTCTCCAGGGCGACCTGCCTCAAATGAAGGATCAGCCATTGGAGAAAACTCAGTATAGATTGCAAGGCTCCCCTCATTAGGCCGGTCTCTATAAGGCTTCCCTAGTTGCGAAGTCACAAAACCCATAACATGAGTTTTCCCCAGCAGCACCTCTGATGAACCATCTTCTCTGCACATTCATAACAATCTAAAGGCTTAAACTTTAATCATGAAATAGAAGAAACATAGATCTCATATATTGAGAAAGTATGAAGCACATAAAAAGCAAATTAGATTTATAATATATACTGAAGTATCCAGAGACTAATAGTCTAATATACAAGTCACATGGAGCACTATATATCTTCTTAGTCATAAACTACAAGATTTCATTTTGATTGTAAAAAAGGGGAGGAGATGACATCAAATGCATACTAATCACATAAATAAACTAATACAATGATACAATCAAAGTTTTATCTCCGAACCATTTTCTTCAAATCCCTGAGAGTTTACATTCTTGTAACTTCTCAAGTAATTTAAATCTATAGCCATTCTGAAAATATATACCAACTTATCCGAACTAGTAGATCTCTCTTGACAATGTGCTCGACCTAACATTGTCATACAACCCTAACATAGATTGCTATAGGGTAAAAGCAAAAAAGCAAAAATAAAAAAAATAAAAACTCAACTAGTTGACACACAGTGGCTAAAATTTTCACACCTTCACTACCTACACCGTACATTTCTGATTTTATTTTTCAATCCAAATACCTACACAGTACTTTTTTCACTAACTCTTATCTCCTACTGATGCCTACACACATGTAAAATCAGTTTGGACCCACCTCTTCACCACTCCTTGCTAAGTTGAAAAGTTGGTAGTAAAAAACCAGACTGTAGCAAGGGAACACACGTCGTTGAGGTGCCACGAAAATTACATTCATCTCCCTGCTGAGTACTAAAAACTTTTCATTTCCTTTAAAAACTCGGGCTCAGGTGATGACTTACTAGATGCAAAAGAGATGAGATATGGGCATATCGCTATACTTGTATTTCTGAAATCATACACTTGGAACTAGAAACGTTAATGTGTATAAACTGAAAAGTGGCGATCAACATCATGTAGCAGTCTTTCAGAACCCACTACAGCACTACTCAGTTTAAGTTTGGTAAATTTGGTGTTGGCAAATCAATAGCACGTTCCTAATACATTTAAGCGGCGCCTTTAAGCAATACAAGCAAAGTACAGTAAACCACGAGCTAACAGACGACTGTAACATATATAAATTATATATACATACCGAAAAAATATCCAAATAGAAATTGCAGAAAGAAAGAACACTCTTACCTACCAAGCTTGACAGTTAGTTTCCTGAAATCGAAAGGGAGCCGGCCATCGACTCTGAGGTCAGAAAGCAATGCAGTTTCAATGAACCTCTTCTCGTTCAAAGTCATGCGCCACGCATTCGCCAATCTCTGCTCCATATTTGCACCCTTAATACCTCCGAAACAATATATATTTTTAAAAATAGTATCTGAAGAAAATCTTTTGTTGGGCCAAGAGAGAGACTGCTTGGAGTTCTGGAAGGTCGCCGCGGATTGAAAAAGCTGAAGGAGGGAGCCTGGAGTGCTTCCGGCCTTCGGGTAATGGCTCTGCAACACTTGGCTAGTGAAATACTCCACCGTCCGTAAGTTCCAGGTTTGGCTCTCACACCCGCAGTTAGCTTAATTGGTTAGGGTGGAAAGTTTACCAAAGGATCGAAACCTGCTGGGATCCAGTGAATGGTAAGGCTCATGGATTGTACCTCTCTACATACAAGATAATTAGATATCAATAGGACTGGGATGTTTTTACTTAGACCCTAATTTGCTAATTTGATCTGGTCGGATAATGTTTTGTCTGATCTAATCTGGTTTGATTTTGGGCGGATATTAGTCCAAGTAAAAACATCCTTGCAACATCCCAAGTGCATATGTAGGATGGGGAGCATGGGACTTTGGGGTGGACATTTTAGCTAGTAAAACTGTAGAAGTATTGTTACTTTCCTAAACTACCTAAAAGTGAAAGAAAAATAGGGTCATTCAAGAATGGGTAAAAAATGACCAAAGTGGAATGACTTATGGTTCTGCATTGCTTGGCCACACCAATGCGTACAACAACAAAATCAAATGGCACTTCGGTTGCCACTCTTGATGTACCTGCGAGACAAATAAACAAAGGCTATCAAGTTGAAAGAAGGAAATGACCTAAGCTAAGTAATACACAGAAAAGCAGTATGGTAGAAACACTTATAACACATTTCAACAACGAGAAACTACAAAGGGGCATTGTGGGACAAACAGCTACATAGTTCAACTGTTCTAGACGTTAGTTTAACAAATTGTGGGCCAAGTTTCAAAGCCAATGTATGGAAACGTGGGATGCCTACAACTTGAAAGAGTTGTAGGGCGTTTTATTAGAGTTTATACTATTTCTTTGTCAATTATTATGAGTATGATATCGCTAATATATTTGTAACTCTCACAAGATAACATGAACATGATTTTCGTTACATGTAAGTCCCATTATGGTTTACATTAGAGAAAATAACATTGGATATCAAAATATCGCACGCGCAACATAAAAGATGAGACATATAATTGATATTGATTAAACACTTTACTTTCAGCAAGATAACTAAGACAATTTATATGATATCTATATTTGTTAGTTCGTGATGTTTTTGTGGCAAATAACATTCACTTGTAAACTCTATAAATTTAAATGAATCAATAAATATCATTCTAGCCTTTGTTAGTTCATTATTGAATTGAAAATTGAAACACTTTATCAAGTAATGTTATTCAGTTCATTCAGATCATGTTTGGCAAAATTAAAATCAGTTGGATCGGGTAAAATTGATGAAATTCCGGTTGAAGTGGTTGAATTGACTGAATCTGCTGGATTATGAAAAATTATATTTAAAACATATTTTATTAATAATACAATTTAAAAATAGCTACAATCTTTCTCTACAGCAGCGTAAACCAATGCATCTAGGAAAATAACTACAACCATACTTTGACTGTTACATAACTCAACGCACAGAATCAAAAATTACGCATTAGATAAAAAAAGTTGAATGATAAGGCTGATAAATTGAAAATAAAGATTATCAAACATGCTCATATTCAAATATTGGTAAATGACTCAATGCTCAATGTCTTATCCAAAGTCTTGCTTTAAAGATTTTAATATCTTTTCAGAATGTTTTTACCGAAATGATCTTGAAAAGTACTTTTAGATCTCTTTATAATTTTTTTTTTGAGAAAGTGTTTTTCATATTTTTTGAGGTCTCTCAGCAGTTATTTTCAAAAATAATTTAAGAAAGATAATTTTCTAGATGTTTTCATGAGCTACATGAGAAAATGTTTTTTTGTTGAAATCTCTTATAGAAAGTTACTTGAGATTTCCTATAATAAAAAGTTATTTGTGAGTTATTTGTTAAGTGCAATAGGAATTATATCGTAAGTTTACTAGTTGACAATTAACACAGACTTCAATGACTCACTATGTCTAATGTTTACTAGTGTTCATTTACAATTTTAAATGTTCATATATTAAGAATAAGATCAAGGTTTTGAAAGACTAGTAATCAATTTGGATGGCGTGCCATGATGAATTAACGAAGACAACCTCAATTACTTATAGTTTTTCTATTCATTCGATTTTTAAATTTCAGAATAATTTTAAATGATAAAACTCTGAGGTGGATGGGAACCGCACTCGTGAACATACTCTTCAACCTCCAAAATCGCAGACTCCGTCACTTGTAGACGCAATCTAGTCTTGCAAAGAAGGTTGAGAAGCTCGTCGACAATACACTCTCATTGCAGATGCAAAGTTTTGGGCTACGCAGAATTTTGCTCTCTGACGACTCCATTGTAATAATTATTTGTTTTTAATTGTAAAATATTACCGGAGTAATTTTTAACTGAGGTTTCCAAAGGAAAAGGTCAAGGGAGTGTTTGCAAGAGCTTAAAAAAGCAATCCCATTAAATCAAGGAGTTAGACTCTCCGCCGCCTAGCGTTTCCTAGGGGTGTTTTCCGGTGTTAAACGTCAGAGTTTAGCATCGAGCTTGCGTTTCTGCGTCTGCGTTTGCTGTTCCGTCAACGTAGATCGTCGATGCTTTCGTTGCAATGGCTTTTTTGGGTCAGGTCTCGGGATTGTGGGAGCTTTGTCAGCTGTATTGAGTCGTCGGGTTGATTTGAACAAGGATTTCGCTGCTTGAGATTGCTGGCAGTAGGAATAGGTGACCGTGAGTATTATTTTGTGGAATTGCAGAGGATAGGGAAACCCAACTTCAGTCCAATCAATGCTTCAGTGTAGGGCTCTGGCCCTCGGCACATGCAATGAACAGACAGGGTGCGACGAAGGGACGAGTAAGGAAGAATACAGATCGGCGGCACGTCCCCCGCCTAAACCGCCGCCTTGGATTGATCTAGATGTCCGGGTTTGGAAGATAAAAGTTCAAGAAGTTTGGAGTATTTGTCAGTTATTCTATTTTTGTTGGTCTTATTTTAGTGTCATGTTTGTTCACGGTGTTTTGTTTCTTATTGAAGTTTTTAATTTTGGGTCTTTGATAATGATTGTCAATTCTGCTAGATATTATGTCAGTGATTGCTGTTTCACACCCGCTTGGTGGTTAGCGATCTGCATTGCTCTTTCATGGGTGATCGTCTCAGAGTCTAGACATAGGGTTGATTGTGATAGTTGGTTGAGGATAGTTTTTGTCAGGATTGGCTTGTTTGAGTCTGTTGTAACAATCCGCTTCCTAATGGTTTGATATAAGAGTTGGATTTGATGATATAAAAAACTCAAGGTTTTCACGCCTTGTATTTTGAGATTAGAGTTGGGGCCTGCCCAGAAAGGTGCAGCCCATTTTCACAGGCCCAAAAAAATTAGTAGTGGTATTACTCAGCCCAGGCTTTTGCTTTGAATTGCGAAGGAAAAATAGAGCCACTTAGGTCGGGGATCGGTTCGGTTTCCTAGGAAAAATATGTGGAATCGTTTGAAAATATGAAATTTTACTAACGATTCGGTTCTTATAATTTTTTTATAGAACCGATAAGGAACCGAACCTTTAAGACATTTACCGAACCGAACCGGAAACAATTCGGTTCTTAACGGTTCGGTTCTTGTCATTTACCGGTTCCTGGTATTTAAAAAAATTCTTACAAATCACGGCTAAATTTGCCAAAAAGACATTCAACGTTTGAAATTACAATACAAATATGTTGAACCGGTTAAAGAGAATAATAATTTTAAATAGTTTGGACCTTCCGAGTTCCGACCCGTTGGAGTTTGGACCGAATGAGAGGCCTAAGAAGTCTAGGAGAACCGGTTGAAGTGAATAATAGTTAAAAAACTAAACTAAAATAATGAATGTTATATAAAAATAAATAAGTAAATATACATTAAAATATATATATACTCATAAGAAATATATATATATATATATATATATATAAATAAAATTTTAATTACTATATATAACGGTTCCTGGTACATATTTTCTTAAGGAACTGAGAACCGAACCGGTAATAAAAAATAGGAACCGAACCGTTAACAAATACTCCGTACATAGTAACTGATAAATGTTGGAACCGAATCGAACCGGGTCATAATGGTTCGGTCCAGTTGGGCTCTCCTGTTCTTTGGTTAAGTCCCAGGCACCTATGAAGCACAGATACTTCCCTAGGGTGGCGTATCGGCGTATCGGATACGTTCCTGTATCCGATACTCTAGGATACCCGTACCGTACGTTCCCGGGCCGTATCTGCAATTTTTAAAAGTTTTTCATTTTTTTTTGTAATTTTTTGAAAGTTTCCGATACTCGTATCCTGATGGATACCCGTATCAACCTTTTTTTTAAATCCCAAAATTTACTTAATAAAATTCTAAAAAAAAATGAAAATCTAAAACTACATTTTACTTGGTAATCAAATAATGGGCCTATATGGCTATATCCGAATTAAGTCATTAACTCATACTCCGAAGTGGGTACTTGCACTTTTAATTTCAAGATTGTAGTTGTTTGACTTATTTCTCATTTTAAATTAACGGGTTATTGATTACATTTATATTTCGAGATACACTAGTGTATATGAGAAATATTATGAATTTATTACTAAGTATCTTGAAAAAGGAAAATGCTTCAATGCAATGAATGAGTAGACATCATAGGATATTATATGTATATTTAAAAAAATCTATTTTATTATTTATAAATAGACCCCTATAACTTTTAATATTTGTAAATACGCCCCCATAACTTTTAATATTTATAAATATGCCCCGTATCCGTATTCTACTTTTTCGGTTTTGACTTATCCCATACCCGTTTCCGCTTACC